TCAATATGACAATTCTTAACAATGGAGAAGTAACACGTCTGGCTGGTCCATCCTCAAATGGAAGTAGATTAGACCTCACACTTTGCTCTAATTCATTATCGTTGGATTGCACGTGGAATGTGATCCAGGATCCCCACGGTAGTGATCACTTGCCGATCGGCATTTCGGTTGCCAGTGGGTTCAATTCGTCGGAATCCGTTAACGTCGCGTACGATCTCACCCGTAATATCGATTGGACAACGTTCAAGACCGCGATTGAGAAAGCCGTGTCATCGGTAGAAGGGCTTCCACCGTTGGAGGAATATAACTTCCTCTCCAATCTGATCTTGGACAGCGCGCTTCGAGCTCAAACTCGGTCGGTTCCAGGAACGTCTTCTCGTAGGAAACCTCCTACTTCTTGGTGGGACCAGCAATGCACTGAGGTTTATCGTAAAAAGTCCGACGCGCTTAAGCTTTTCCGGTAACGCGGAACACCCGAGTATTTCGAAGCGTACTCGACTCTTGAACACGAACTCAAGAGCCTCATCAAAGCCAAGAAACGCGGATACTGGCGGCAATTCGTGGACGGTTTATCGCGCGAAACGTCGATGAATACGCTTTGGAACACGGCGCGAAGGATGCGTAACCGGTCTTCAAACAACGAGAGCGAGGAGTACTCGGATCGGTGGATTCTCAAGTTCGCGCGAAAAGTATGTCCTGATTCCGTGCCGGCACAGATGATTCCTCGCGAAACGACGAATTTGGTAGACGAGATCAGCCAGCCTTTTTCAATGCTGGAACTCTCACTCGCGCTCCTTTCTTGTGGCAATTCGGCTCCGGGGGCTGATAGAATCAAGTTCAACTTGTTGACGAACCTCCCAGACGTCGCTAAGAGGCGCATGTTGAACTTGTTTTGTCAGTTCCTGGAGTTCAATATTGTTCCAGATGATTGGAGGCGAGTGAGAGTTATAGCCATTAAAAAGCCTGGAAAACCCGCGTCAGATCATAACTCGTATCGTCCCATCGCGATGTTATCGTGCATTCGAAAATTGTTGGAGAGAATGGTCCTTTTTCGCCTCGACAAATGGGTTGAGACGAACCACCTTCTTTCAGATACTCAATTTGGTTTCCGTAGGGGTAAGGGAACGAACGACTGTCTCGCGTTGCTTTCCACAGAAATTCAGTTGGCTTTTGCTAAAAAAAACGAGCAAATGGCTTCTGTATTCTTGGATATCAAGGGGGCTTTTGATTCAGTATCGGTTGAAGTCCTTTCAGACAAACTCCACGCTTGTGGCCTTTCCCCATTAATTAATAACTTTTTGTACAATTTGCTGTCAGAGAAACATATGAGCTTTTCTCATGGAAACTCTACAGCTTCTCGATTTAGTTACATGGGTCTCCCCCAGGGCTCATGTTTAAGCCCCCTTTTGTATAATTTCTATGTCAGAGAAATTGACAATTGTCTAAGTGACAACTGCAGGCTGAGACAACTTGCAGATGATGGAGTAGTGTCTATGACAGGGCCCAAAGGGGTCAACCTGCAAGGACCCTTACAGTATACCTTAGACAATTTGTCTACTTGGGCTATCCATCTAGGTATCGAATTCTCCACGGAGAAAACTAAGTTGGTCGTTTTTTCTAGGAAGCATAGCCCAGCACAACCGAAGCTTCAACTTTTGGGTAAGCCGATCACTCATTTCATGTCTTTCAAATATCTTGGGGTCTGGTTCGATTCCAAATGCACATGGAGATCCCACATTGAGTATCTGAGACGAAAATGCCAACAAAGGATCAATTTTCTCCGAACAATTACCGGAACGTGGTGAGGAGCTCATCCGCAAGATCTTCTAACGTTGTACCGGACAACGATTTTATCGGTTTTAGAGTACGGTAGTTTTTGCTTCCAGTCGGCGGCTAAAACTCACATCATCAAACTGGAACGTATCCAGTATCGTTGTCTTCGTATCGCGTTAGGATGCATGCACTCGACTCATACGATGAGTCTCGAAGTGTTGGCGGGCATGTTGCCACTATCGGATCGGTTTTCGGAATTGTCCCACAGGCTCCTCACCCGTTGTGAAGTTATGAACCCGTTGTGAAGTTATTAATCGAAAACTTTGAGAAGCTTCTTGAGCTAAACCCTCAAACTCGTTTTATGTCATTGTACTACGTGTACATAACTCAGGATGTCAGCCCTTCACAGCATAATCCCTATCGTGTATGCTTCTCCGACTTCGGCAATTCAGTTAGTTTTGATTTATCTATGACGCGGGAGATTCGTTCCATGATTGTTCCGTCAATTTACGCTGCAAAGTTTGGCCAAGTTGATTCCGCAAGATCGTTCTTCACAGATGGATCACTAATAGAGTCGTCCGCTGGTTTTGGTATTTTTAATGAAATTCATAGCGCCTCTCGAATGCTTCAAGCTCCTTGTTCCGTATATGTTGCTGAACTGGCGGCAATACACTATACGCTAGAAACGATCGCCTCACTTGCACCAGATCACTATTTTATTTTTACGGATAGTCTCAGTTCTGTCGAGGCTATTCGATCCATGAGGCCGGTAAAGCACTCCTCGTATTTTCTCATGAAAATACGAGAGCTTCTGAGTGCTTTATCTTTAAGATCTTTTGTCATCACCTTTGCATGGGTCCCATCTCATTGCTCGATTCCGGGCAATGAGAAGGCGGACTCACTTGCTAAGGTGGGCGCTATGCAAGGCGATATTTACGATCGACAAATCGCCTACAATGAATTTTTCTTCATTTATCGTCAACAGTCGCTCGCCAGCTGGCAAAATAAATGGAGTGAAGGAAGTTTGGGACGATGGCTATTCTCGATCATCTCTAAGGTGTCGAAGAGTCCTTGGTTCAAGGGGTTGGATGTGGGTCGAGACTTCATTCGTCTGATGTCTCGCCTCATGTCCAATCACTATTCGTTAAACGCTCACTTGTTTCGTGTTGGGCTGGGAGACAGCAATCTCTGTGAATGTGGAGAAAGTTACCAAGACGCCGATCACATCCTTTGGTCTTGTGTTGAGCATCGCGGAGTCAGATCTGAACTGTACGATTCCCTTCGGGCTCGAGGTAGACAACCTAATGTTCCAGTTCGGAATATTTTGGCTAGACGTGATCTGGAGTTTATGAAACTCATATATGTTTACTTTAAGAATACTAACCTTAGATTGTAAGTTTGATTAACCTTGTGTTTAGTTTGTGTATTGTGCGTGTAGTTTTTTTTTTAATGTTTGTTTTCAAGATGAATAGAAATAAGTTCATGTTTTAGGATTAATTAAATATTTGTATAATAAATCATATTTCAAACCTCCTTCTCCCTTTCCCCATCCAAAAAATTGTAAATCTCCACTTACCTCGAGACGACCGCGAGTAATCGGTTCAATTTCTTTAACTCTAGATTTAAGACATTAATCATGTATAATGCAAATGATAACTCGGCTCTGTAAAGTTTATTCGATTGAGCCTGTACAAATAAATTAATATAAAAAAAAAAAAAAAATACAAATGCAGAACCTTTGGTTAGTGTCTATTCAGTGGGATGATCCCATCCCAAACGAGATAAGTTGTGACTGGAATATAGATACTGGATACCACGGTATGGTCCTCCGGAAGATCCGGAATATCCGTAAAAGTGGTAAATTCATGAAACTGATCCTAGAGCTCCGTGGTATTTTCGAAACCACTCATAGACGTCTTATCAGAATGAATTCGGAGTTGTGATCCAATGATGGACCCTGGTATGGTCCACCGGATGATCCGGAACATCGGTGAAAGTGGTCATTTCATGAAACTGATTCTGAGCTTCATGTTTTTTTTTCGAAACCGCTCATAGACGTCTTATCAGAATGAATTCGAAGTTTTGACGTGAATATGGACCCAGATGACCACGGGATAGTCCACCGGAAGATCCGGAACATCCGTGAAAGTGGTCAATTCATTAATCTTATCCTAGAGCTCAGCGGATTTTTTGAAATCACTCCTAGACGTCTTATTAGAATGAATTCGAAGTTTTGACGTGAATATGGACACTGGAGACTGCGGGATGATCCACCAAAAGATCCGGGACATCCGTGAAAGTGGTAAATTTATGAAACAGAGCTCCGCAGATTTTTTGAAATAACTCATAGACGTCTTATTAGAATGAATTCGAAGTTTTGACGTGAATATGGACACTGGAGACTGCGGGATGGTCCACCGAAAGATCCGGGACATCCGTGAAAGTGGTAAATTTATGAAACAGAGCTCCGCAGATTTTTTGAAATAACTCATAGACGTCTTATCAGAATGCATTTGGAGTTGTGACTAGAATATGCACCCAGGGAACCACGGGATGGTCCACCGGAAGATCCGGAACATCCGCAAAAGTGGTCAAGATTCCTATAGTACGGTTAATAGGGATCGCACTATAGGAACTGGTATTAACGAATACACGTACCATAAGGGATTAAAGCTAATTTGGGACAAACTCTTATTGTAGGGTAAGTTGAAGAGATAACTTTCTGGTGTCTTCTAAAAAGTTATTAACAAGATAGATGACCACCTTTTGAGAAAACTTTGCTTCCGAAAAGTCACAAGTTTGGTCCCCAGGAAGACCTGGAACATCCGTAAAAATGGTCATTTCATGAAACTGATCCTAGAGCTCCGTGATTTTTTCGAAACCGTTCATAGATGTCTTATTAGAATGAATACGGAATTGTGACCAGAATATGACCCTGGGGATTACGTAATGGTCTACCGGCAGATCCGAAACATCCGTAAAAGTGGTCAATTCACGAAACTGAGCCTAGAGCATCTTGGTTTTTTCGAAACCACTCATAAACCTTTTATCATAATCAGTTCAGAGTTGTGACCGGAATCTGAACCCTCGGGACCATGGGATGGTCAATTAGAAGATCTGGAACATTCATATGCATTTATGGGTAACATCTGTTGAAGTTAGAATTCAAATCAGGCTTCATGTATCTATAACAAATTCTAAAATTTGCCATTTCTTTCTATTTCCAGGTCAAAACCAACCCATGAATAAAGGAAAACAGTGAATCTCAGTGCATCAAACGCAATTCAATTGTTTATCCTGCAAATAGTGTAAAGTGTCCTAACGAAGAAGAATCACCGGTTTGAAAAAAATAAAAATAAGTGAAACCAAGTGCGGGAAAAAAAGAAGTGTTTGAAACACCTATTTGATGAAACGATGGTTTGATGGAATGATCCATCTCCAGTGTCCGAGTGCGTAGCACAACAGAGCAGATTCGAAAGAGCGAGTGTCGCATCCAACAGTTATTCCAATACCAATTAGAAAATGTCCTCTTCAGATCACTTCCGGCCGATGTCGGCACAGCAAACTCCATCCGAAGGATGGCACCACCACCACCATCATTGTCAACGGCAACGGACGACGATGGCGTCGTCGTCGTCGTCGTTAAAAGCCAATCCATCAGCCACCGCCGCCACGGTGGCGTTGGGGCCGGGCAATTTCAGTGCTAATAGTGCCGGGAGTGATAGCAGCGGGAAAGTGTATCGATTTCAGAAGCGGTTAGACTTGCAACAGCAGCATCACAAGTGCAAGTCGTACCGTAGAACGTTCGGGGATAAAGTGTCACCAATCGATGGTCATTCGTCAGGGTATGGAAGTGGCAGTGGCAGTGGCAGCAGCAGCAGCAGCAGAAGAAGATTTAGGTGCTGTGTTGGGGGATGTTGTCGTAGTAGTGCCATCCTTGGAGGAGGTGGCCTTGGACGATCGAATGTCTTCCTGGTGGTGGCCCTGTTCCTGCTGGCGGGATTCTGCACCCAGAGCGGATGTGACGATACCGATCAGTTTCAGAAGAGCAGTGAGTATTGATTTTTTTTTGGTCTGTCCTATGCTTTTACGGGGGTTGATGGAAATGAATTTTCGTTCAGGCTAACAAGCCCGTAGGGGCGCTCCTCTCCAACAGGATTGGAATTTAGGCTAATGTTGAACGGTAGATGGATTTACGGTGTAATTTTGTATGGTTAGTTGAGGGATTGAAACTAAGCTTGTCATCGAGCAAAAATTACTGGCTAAGCTTCACTCGTTTACAGCAGTTTGATTGAAGTCGAAACGAGCGGCGGGGTGGGAAGGTGGCATGGCGGGATGAAGGAAGCCAGGGATTAAAGATTTACACCGAAATGAGCAAAACCAGAAGAGAAATCCGGAGTGCTGCGCTCGCCGAGGATTAGTGCAAATGAATTCGAGAGATGGAAAATTGGCATGCGGCTTTCCTCCGGTGTTCCGCTGCTACTACTACTACTGGCTCATGATTTATTTAGAGATTAATCTTCAAAGAGGATGTTAACGCATATTACCACGGTACCGCCAATGCCGGGGATGAATAAATAATTACGCTCGTGCGGTCCGTTTCCCCCTTGAACCCCCCACCACCACCGGACATTTCCCAAGATTTGATCTTCGGCTGTGGCTGCTGTTCTTTTGCGCTTTGACTGCGTTTGCCCTTCGCAGTTCCGACACAGACACACATATTAAGATCATCTTGACTTCCATTAGGTCTCATTAGGTTGCTTAATTTCTGCGGATTGTGCACTGCATCGTCGTTGTCCCCGGGAATAAGGTGGCAAACGGCTTCCTCCGCTTCCAGGCATCCAACCATAAATCTTGCCATTCATAATGTATAAGCATATACATATTTGTTATGGAGGTTTGGAAGAGAGGCAACTCAGGAAAAGAATTCTTTTGGTTCGTCCTTCCGGCTCCCGGTAAGGCGTTTGGGGGTTGTTTGTGGCTGTGCTACCTTTGCCCCGCAGGCTGAGATATGGTTGGAAGATATTAATGGTCTTATTACCATCAATATCTCAGCGTCTGGCAGGAGATGAGATGGGAAGAGAAGAGAAGCTGGGCTTCCAACGTGGATTGGATTGCCTTAGGCCTTGGGGTTTTAACGAACAAGAATGGATGGAAATGGGCAGAAACCGGTGCTGGGATGGAAGGATCTCTTAGAAGGAGGTTTATTTACCAGCAGACACGATTCAACGAGGGTTGGTTCATGATATTTTGTAGAGCTACAGCTATGTGGTAGTGGAGTTTATGAGGGTATTTAGTGTGACGGTAAGGAAAATAATGTCATAATTTCTTCTACTTGACTTAAGATGTTCGAACTGGAATTGGTGCCGTTTCGCTCTGAAATAACACAGTCATTGAGCGCTTTTATATAATGCACCATGAAATGACGATAACATTTAAGGCAAACAGGTCCATGCGAATTGAATTCGTTGCATCAAGTAAGGTTTGTTTTATTTTTTTATTTAATTACTTAATTCTACAATCAGTATAGTTCTCGAATCCAAAATTATTGTTTATACTAGATGAATTTGGTTTCGGATGATCCGGACTAGGCTTATTTCGATTTGTTTATTTTGAACGATAAGCGAATATACATAGTCCTGGAATTATCTAGACTTTAATTAAATTTGAAACACTAAATAACCAAATTGATACAACCCTAAGAATATTTTCCTTGAGTTGTTTAATTAAAGAACACATTACCGGTTTTCGTCTGAAGAGCTTCGTTTTCTGAGCACAGCGAAAATTTCATTGATCCCATAGACATTCACCTCTATTTTTAAATCAAATTTTTAATTTTTAATGTTCGACACTAAATCTATTAGTTGAAAGCTTGCGTCCATGCAAAGTTCCACCGAGGGGCGCTAAAATGTTGTTTTTGCTGAAATAATCGCACTTATTCAAAATCGTTCTAGTGCTCCAAAATTGATGAACTAATGGATTTCAGTTCCATTTTTAATGCAGGTGGTGAATATGCATTTACCCTGTCCTTGATTAATTCGAATATTTCGGGTGATTTTTTATCTTTCTCAAACAGTTTCATCTGGACTCAAACTTGTTTTGCGCCAAATTTTTTCTCAGTGTACCTCAGTGTGCCGCAGCTGGCACGGCAGTGCCGAGAAGTACTCAACAGACAACAACGATTTTGGGAAAGCGACAGCGGTCAAGAAAGTGGTTGAGGCTTTGTGCTAGTCACGACTGTCGGATCTTCGGAATCGAAAGGCGCGCGCAAAGCCATTCCAAGTGACGAACAGACGAAGAACACCAACGGAAGATCAAAGCCATGAAACGGAATATTTCTACCATTTATTCATGAAGAGAGTAACATGGAATGAAAAGCGGAAGTGTTGCTGTCTTTGTTATTTATCTAGACAGTGGTGGAACCTTTCGATGGGGGCAACATAGCCCACTGGGTTAGTGGACTTGATGAGTGCAAGGGGCTGGACACTCAACACCCCTGCTCAGCCACTGCAGTCTACCAGGCCAATCCCGGCACGATGACGTCGAAATGCTGCAACCTGTAACCCTTTTGTCATCATGTCCGCAGGTTGTTCGACGAACGGTAGGAACTTGAGAGTGATGCAACCATTCTTTATCAAGTCCCACAGGAAGTGGAACTTTACGTCGATGTGTTTGACCCGTCCGAAGGCCTTCGATTCCTCTGCGATCCTCATAGCAGACTTATTATCTTCGTAAACGTAGATTGGTTCCTTGCTCCTGTATCCCAAATCGTGCAGAAGACGGCTCATCCACATCTCATGGCAGGCCACCATGTAGAGGGCTGTCAGCTCTGCCTCAGTCGATGAGAGAGCGACGGTTTGTTGCTTCTTGGTGAGCCAGCTGACTGTATTTCCGAACACCTTAATCACACCACCGCTCACGTAACGACGATCAGAGGAGTCGTTTGCCCAGTCGGCAACCGAAAAGACCTCCAGCAGCGGCGCTGCTTTATCCGCACGGTAGACCAGGCCAAAATCGAGCGATCCCTTGGCGTATCGTAGTATCCTTTTCAGATGAGTCCAGTGCTCATCACTGGGACAGCTCTGCAACTGGCTATAGAAGTTCACTGTCGCTGTCAGGTCCGGTCTAGTGGTTAGGGCTGCGTATGACAAGCAACCAACTAGTTCCCTGAACGGCTGCGCGGTTCGATTCTGCTCGTTCCCTTTCGGCAGCTTCAGGCGGTTCTCGATGGGCGTTAAGCACGGCTTGCAGTCCTCCATTTTAAAACGTTTCAGGACGTTCTCCAGATAGTGTCGCTGAGTTATCTTCCTAACACCGCCAGCCCGATTGTAGTTAACTTGCAGTCCCAGAAAGCACCGATGTCTTTCATCTCGAATCACCATCTGAACTGCTTTCAGCGACGCTCCGGCAATCAGTATGTCGTCTACGTAAAAAACCATAATCGCCCTAATTGCTCCGGATCCGCGGGTGTACAAGCACTGGTCGTTGGCGCTTTGCTTAAGCCAAGGCGACTGGAGAATATGTTTCACTATAATCGAAACCGAACTTTTGGTCGAAACCTCTGGTCACTAGCCGTGCTTTATAGCGATCCGGTTCCTCGTTCAGACCAGTTTCGTTCTTCGTGTGGGCTTCTATTTCCTCTTTTACCGCAGCTTCCCATTTCAGCCAGTCCTGCCGTGCTTTCGCTTCGGCCAGCGTCCTTTGCAAATCCTTGACGTCTTCTGTGGCGCTCATACGCTGCGTACTCCATATCATAGTCAGTTTGCCACGCCGGTGGTTTCCGCTCACGCACTGGTCGACCGGAGCTGATGGATTCCACTGGATCGTGGTCGCCATCGTTGGTCGAACCGGATTCCGATTCTGCTCCAGTGTGGTCTTCTTCGAAGAAGCTATCGTACTCCGACACCGATTCCACTCTGGAACCGCCGTCCTGCTCGTCCGTATCCGGAACGTCCAATATTGCATCCGGTGCCTGTTCAACCAATTCGGATTGTTCATCATCGGCCACAGCAATGGAGAGAACATCTCGCTCACCGCCACATCCCGGAGTATTTTCCCAACGCATGGACTCTACAAAATCGACGTCACGAACGTGCATAATCTGCCACTTCGTCGAATGCCACACTCTATAGCCGTTGTGAGCATAGCCTAGGAATAGCCCTTTCCAAGATTTAGCGTCCAACTTACCTCGTTGCTCTTTTGGAATGTGGACGAACACGAAGCAACCGAAGACTCGAAGTTTCTGGACGTCCGGCTTTGATCCTTCCCACAGCTGGTATGGAGTCATACCAGGATCGATTGCGCTGGAGGGGCTACGGTTCAGAAGATAAGCTGCATAATCCCAGAAGCATTCGTTCACGCCGGAGTCTTCCAGCATGGCCCGAGCGCGCTCGGAAACGCCGTTCTGTTCCGGGGTAAGGGCTACCGTCCACTCGATCTGGATTCCACTACGGTTACAAATCTGCATGAACGGGCGGTTTTTATATTCTCCCCCGTTATCAGACCGCAAACGCGAAATCTTACAACCGAACTTTGCCGATACCAGCGCGGCATATTGCTGGAAGCACTCGTAAACTTCGTCTTTTGTTTTCATTAAAAACACCATTCCAAAGTGGCTCCAGTCATCCACAAAAGTCACAAAGTATCTCATGCCACCAACACCAACCGGCTTGATCGGTCCGCAAACGTCTGAATGTACGAGTTCGAGAATGCGCGACGATCGCGGTTCTTTACGCACTTGGAAAGGATTTCGCGTTTGCTTGGCCGCGACGCATGGCTCGCACACTAAAACGTTTTCATTCTTTCAGCTTTAAACCAACACACATTTCTTCACTGACCAGTTTCTCCAAGCTTCTCGCATTCAGGTGACCAAATCGCCTATGCCACAGCTCCAGATTCGCTGGTACGCGCCCGAACGACAGCAACGAATCACTCGCCTTGCGACGAAGAAGTCCAAACGATAGAGGTTTTTGACACGTTTACCCGTGGCGACCACTTTCGAATCACGGTAGATCCGGACCGACTCACTTTCAAAAACGACCTTCATACCAT